GTGCTGGTGAGGTTGTGGAGAAAAGGTAACTCTAGTACACTGTTGGTAGGAATGCTGACTGGTGCAGCCACTGTGGAAAACAGTATGGAATTTCCTCAGGAAACTAAAAATGGAACTGCCTTTTGATCTGGCAATTTCACTGCTTGGATTATACCCTAAGAGCTCTGAAACACCAATCCAAAAGAACCTATGCACCCCAATGTTCATAGCAACAAATTTACGATAGCCAAGTGCTGGAAGCAACCAAGTGCCCATGAGTAACTGAGTGGTTCAAAAAACTATGGTACATTTATTTACACAACAGAATACTATGTAGCAGAAAGAAAGAAGGAGCTCCTACCCTTCAGGATAGCATGCATGGAACTGGAGAGCTTTATGCTAAGTGAAGTAAGCCAGGAGGCAATAGACAATTACCATATTATGTCACCTATTAATGTAACCTAATCAACAAAACAAACAAGCAAGCAAAATATAACCAGAGACACAGAAGTAAAGAACAAGCTGACAGTGACCAGAGGGGAGTGGGGACAGGGATAATGGGGGGAAAATGGGGAAGGGTCATCAAGGAACATGTTTAAAGGACCCATGGACAGACCAAAGCAGGGTAGGATTAAGGGTGGGCAGTGGGAGTTGGTGGGGAAGGGGAGAGCTGTGGGGTGAAAATGGAGACAACTGTACTTGAACAACAATGAGAAAAATAGGATTTGTAATAAAAATGTGCAAGTCAGATGCCACCTGTACTATGAAGTGAGCTTGGTTTTCCTCTTCTTTGTGCCTGTATCATTTTGTACATAGTTCCATCAATTTCAAATTGCCTGCATGAAAATTGTAGTTCTTCCAGATTCTAAATGTGTGACCTTAAGCAAGTTTCCTCTTTGTGCTTCAGTAATCTCATTAGTAAAATGGGGATAATAGCACTGATTTCATAGAGTTTTGGTGTGGGGATTGATGAGTTACTATGCACAAAGTTCTTAGAGAAATTCCTGGCTCCTAGTAAGCATTATATAAGTTATTTGCTATTCTTATTGTATTAAGTGAAAACAACCAGAAAAATCACTTTTACTCATAGACTATAAATGTATTGAAATGGCTTTACTCTGACATTCTGGTGACTGTGCACTATTTACATAGACAACGTAGGCAAGGCTAAATTGTGGTCCACCCCAGGTCTTGGCAGAACATAGTGATCCTCTCACAAGTGGGAAGATAGGCAGTCTTGTGAGGAGTTGCTTCAAGGCTCTTTTTTATCTGTCTTCCTTCCTTGTGGGAGGCTCCCTATTTTGCAGAAGGCTACCAGAAGGCAAATTCTCATCTCACCCCCTGGTTACAGTGAGGCATAGGACTTTTCTGTTCCCTTCCCCAAACCGTGGGTATATATGCTGGCTATCAGGAATATCAGGAGCTGACACTGTGCTGATCTTATTTATGCTGTATGTGTAAGTAATAATCTATACCCATTTGATTGCATTGTTTCCTTATTGCATGGATCTATGAAGGTCTGTGCTGTTGCTTATGGCCTGCTTGATCTGATAGTAAGCTCTTTGGGAGAAAGAGAAACTTATCAATTTTTTCAACACTATATATATTGAGTGTCTGGTCTATAGTAAGTGCTTAGTAAGTATTTGTTGAATTTTCAAAAGATATAGCAAACAGTGATAAATACTATTCAATCATATATAGTCAAGGATAAATATCAAACCCATTATAACCAAAGAAAAAATAAAATAAAATAAAACCAAACAAGATAGGGGTATTCTACTCATGAGGTTTAAAGAAAAACATAGACATGTCACATAGGAGAAAAAAGCCCTCTAGTTCCCTTATTGTTTTTCCATTAATTTATATGGGCATTTTATACCTTGTAAGCTTGACTTTATTTTCTGAAATGAACTGTAATCTAAGGAAGAAAGGCTAGATTATCATCTTTATGTTCCAAGCAACCCCAGATTTTTTTCTCCTAGGAGCTGCTGCATGGGTGATAGTAACCTTTTAACCAAGATGAGGGTGCTTTTATGTATTTTATATGTTGGGTTTTCTTAGAGAATTTTACTTGAAGAAAATGGTTGACAGCTAAAAACAAGGCAAAACAAAACAAACTTGCAAGCCACTGGCCTAACTCTAGCTCTAAAATTAATGTACAGTATGATGACTGTAGTTAATAATACTGTATTGAGTAAGGGGAATTTGCTAAGAAAGTAGATTTCAGGTGCTCTCACCATACACTCACACAAATGGTAACTATGTTAGATGATGTGTTAATAGCTTGACTGTAGTAATCATTTCTCTATGTATATGTATATCAAATCATCATGTCGTACACTTTAAACACACACAATTTTTATTTAAAAATAAAATGTCTATGTATAGATTAAGGCAAGGGAAGTTTGTTAGCTATAAACTCAGGAGTACAGCAGCAGGCTGAATTTGGATAGTGGAGCTCTTTGGATTGGGGTATGATGGAAAGAATGGAAGGCTTGCTGAAGATATACATATCAGTAATGCAGAATTTTGTTTAGTGTAATTGCTTTATTTAGGACTCATATATCCTGCTTTCTTATTTGGAGTTTGGGAAGGGTGAAATACAGGGTGATCCTCATAAATTTTTAAACCCCAAATCACTCCTTGTACATAAACAGATTGTCTGTACTACTATTAAAGCTTCCTCAGCTTAAAAAATGTCCCTTTCTTAAAGTCTCTGGGTTGAACTGTTACATGTACACCATGTCCAGGACCCAAATAACATATTTAGTCAATTCTAAGGTGCAATTTTCCCTGTATTTTAATATTTCTGATATTGAGATATAACACAAAATCAACATGTGCATTTAATGTGGTAGCATACCTATTTTCCTTTATTATTAAATAAATGTCACATTTGCAATTTGATGATGTCTTAGATTTGAGAAAATGACATATAATCAACAAGAATAATAAGCTTGTAAATTTGAGCAAGGAATACTTGAGGTAATGTCAACCACCTTTTTCATCTGTGTTTTGCCTGTGGGGTTAAGCAATGATAGTGGATGCCATCATTAATATGTCTATGGGATAAAATTGAAGCTACAAATGAGGGCTTTTTTTTTCTTTTTTGAGTCAGCTTACCAGTATACCACTATCTACAATTATTCTTTTATTATTGTTATAGTCACTGCTTACTCGAATAGGCCATGCTACTTCATGCCCAGTTACCATTCCACATGCTCTTACCTCCACTTGGAATGTCCTTCTTGGAATGTTGTCCACTGTAGAAATCCTATCCACCCAAATAGAGTTGATCCCTTCTGCTTTATGTCATTGTGTACCTGACATACGCCTCTAAATATATACTGACCATATTGAACTGCAGTGATTTATTAGGTGTCCATTTCCTTTACTGGAAGTTCCTTGAGTATAATTGTTTCTTATTTATCTCTGTATATCTAGTACTTAGGAACAGTGCCTGGTACATAGTAGTAGTCACTATCTTCAAAGATTGAATATATAAAAAGAAAGAAGGAAAAAAGAACAATATAATGTGGTAAAGTTCCATTACATCAACAAATGTTTCATTTGCTGCTGCCATTCAGTAGTGTTCATTCCTTATACAAACCCTCTGAACTGGTGGTAGACATATAATTGTCAACACTGAGTTTAATTGTTAATAATAAAACAAGACATTTATGTCTCCCTCATTAATTATAAGTTCATTGGAGGGAGGTATCAAGTCTATTTCTGTATATACTTTTGAGTTTTAGATTGTATATTCCTATTCTGAGGTGTGATTTAGTTTCCAAGATGCATCATTCAGTATACCTTTATCATTAATACTAGTGGCAATTTGCGTAAGAGAAATGGAAAGGCCCACAACAGTTTTATTTATTTAGGGCCTAGAATTTCTCCAGTGTTTAGAGCAATCCTTAATATTAGACATCAAAAACATAATTTTACAGTAATTTAAGAGAGAGGAATTTGAATATTACTACTAAAACCCTGGGAGCTAATTATTTCAAGATCACTTGAAACCTTAACTCATTCGAGTTTGAAAAATCTCTTGAGGTACTTAAAGTCACTATTCCCATTATGTTACTTGATTCAGTTTAATGTCTTAGATCTTGCTAATGACATTAAAACTGAATTTCATGCCAAAGAGAGGTTCTATTTGTCATGTGCTTAAGGAAAAATATTAAGTATCTCCTGTGGGCACCTCAGTACTCTATACTATACTGTATTGTAAGAGAGGGAGGGGAAAAGATTGATGCACAGCCTCTGATCTCAAAAAATAAATTCTTAGCACCAGAATTACTAGTGTATATTGTCAAAATGGGTTGTATTCTACACTTTTCATTAGACATAGACTTTTCAACAAGATTATCACAAGGCTCAGATAAGCAAAAATAAGGTGTATTCTATTGATATTGTTGGTGTTGCATTGTAATTATACAGAAATGGTGGCTTGGCAAAGGATGCTATCCAATATGCTGTGGTGTCATTCAGATTAGGAAGCCAAGTGACACTTTAGATGTCTTTTTTAGGTATATGTTTAGAGTTTTAAAATCAGAAGTTCCAAATATTAAGAAAAAATTCCTTTTTAAATTTCCCAATGTAAACCAAGTCATCAAAAGAAATAGTCATAAGAGAGAAGACAGATTTAGGGAAGGAAATATTTCATTTTCATTGCCTGTCAACTCATTATACATTACCAACCATTCAGATGGTATGCATGAAATAGAAGTAGAATGAAAGAAATTCAGTCCAATCAGATTGGGCTGTTTAATAGGAGTAGAAATAGTGTATTATATCATATGGTTCTATTATATTTATTTGTAAATCTTATCCACGTGTAAGGTTAGTTTATTTTGTGCGTATTTACCAAATTTAAACTGTTCCATTATTCCCTTAGTACTTGAAACATATCAACCAATATTTTTAAAGACTTTACAGTCTTGCCTACAGTGTTATATATACAATAGGCAGTCAATTTAGCTATAATGGTCATAAAATGGGGAAGGGAGAGAGCTTACCACTAGATCCTCACAACACGCTGTTGAAGTGTCCTTTTTCGTCAGTCCTAGGAATATATCCTCAGTTCCCACCTGCTGTTTGTATATAATATCATACCTGAAAAAGTCATTGATATAGAAACTCAAATGAAAGAGAAATTTCCTGTCATAGAGAAGAAAACTAGAGACTTATGAGAACATGCCATTGCAATAAAAATAAAATGACTGCCCTGGCAGGCGTAGCTCAGTGGATTGAGCGCAGGCTGCGAACCAAAGTGTCGCAGGTTCGATTCCCAGTCAGGGCACATGCCTGGATTGCAGACCACGGCCCCTGGCAACCACACATTGATGTTTCTCTCTCTCTCTCTCTCCCTCCTTTCCCTCTCTAAAAATAAATAAAATCTTTAAAAAATGACTAAGTAAAATTCTTACAGTTTTTTTCAGGCATATAGCAGAACATAAAGAAATAAAAATCTAGAAATTTAGTCAAAAATACCTAACTCTGTAAAGCAGGATTTATATCATATCTACTTCTTTTCTAAAATGAAGCTGAACTGTTTTAGAGCTAAATAAAATGGACTGAGAAAACTTCTAATAAGAGTCTCATAAGATTCGATGTAGAAGAAAAAAAGGAAGACCCTTTCCAGGAAAACAATGGCTCAGAAAAATAGTGGGCCCATAACACAGGATTTGATGGATAGATAGAAACTCTCCACCGATAAATTTAAGCGACAATGAAGAGTTCGAAAATCCAGGTTAAGTACCATTTCTGTCATTTGCCATGTGATTTTCATCAAGTCACAAACTCATGGCATCTCGGTTTCTACATTTGTACAATTTATGGAAGAGGGTGAGTTTGAATTAAATGATCTCTTTTTTCTATCTCTAGAATTCTACAATAGAAACACTGGTAATGTAGTCAGCACAGCTACACTATAATGTTTAGAATCTAGTCCTATAGGATTCTTAGTTCAATGAAAGATTTTCCTCACACATGACAATTCACAAATCTTTCCTTGGCCCCAAACTTGGGCCCTTAGAGATAGGATGGCTTATGGAAGCACTAAGACATAGTGTACCCTATTATTTTACATGGAATGAAGTAAGCAAATAGTTACAAATGACCTTTTCTATTTAATTTAACCTAATGGAGAATGGTAAATCACTGGACAGGAAGACTAAAGGAGTACAACGACTCTGACCGCTAGCAAATAGGAATGGCCAAGAATGAAAAGAGGATTTCTCTGAGTTGAAACAAGAATAATAAGTAGCTATTTGATATGGGGTGTTTCTTTTCTTAATAGACTATAACTTCTACCAGATATTTACAAAGATGAAGCCAGGTTAAACAAAATAGAAAGGTATTGATCCATATGCCCATGATTCCCAAACAGATTTGCTCTAGCTGCTGCTGCTCTTCTCATCTCCAGAAGCAATTTTTTCCTATTGCCTACTCTACCCATTTGCCTGGATCCAAAGGCACCTCACTATCTATACACCCAAAACCAAACTCATCACTTCCCCTCCACCTATATTCCCACTTGCAGTTAATTACCCCATTATTCACCCTGTCACCCAAGCATCATTTTTGACACTTTCCTCTCATTCATTAAATCTAATCAAATATCAAATCTGACTTTAAAACTCTGTAAAATAAAGACCCTAATGTTTATCTTTGGGGTAGTGACTTATATTGGGCCCTTATTATTTTTTTATTTGGCCACTAATCATTCTTCTTTTGTGAATGCCCTGTCCATGTCCTTTAACCATTTTTTCCCTCTTTACCTATTGGGATATTAGAAGTATAATTGCATGAGAAAGAAAATAAAGATTTTTAAAAAATCTTCAAAAGCCATTTTCTTCATATCCTGACTGAATTACTTATTACTGTAAAGCTTTCATGGATGTTCTTTCTACAGAACATCAAACAAGAAAGGTGTTATTATGCTAAGTGAAATAAGCCAGCCAGAGATAGACAAGTGCCATATGATTTCACTCATATGTGGAATCTAATGAATAAAATGAACTAACAAGCAAAATAGAGACAGACTCATAGAGAGCAGGCTGTCAGGGGGGATTAGGGGCTGGTGGGGTGGTGGAGGACTGAACAAAAAATTACAAAAGAGAAAACACTCATGGGCACAGACAACAGTGTGGTGATTGCTGGAGGGAGTGGGTAGGAGGAGGTGGAGAAGGGTATAGCGTGGATAACTGTGGATGGAAAGAGACCTGACTTGGGGTGGTGGTGAACACACAATACAGTGTACAGCTCATGTTTTGTGGAATTGTGCACCTGAAACCTGCATAATTTTGTTAACCATTATCACCCCAATATATTTAATAAAAAGGAAAAAGAAAAACTGAAAATTTACCCAAATTTGGGGCTGGCCTCATATGGATGTTTGACATTTATTAGACAATATGACAAATGAGTGACTTCTTTTTTAAAAATATATTTTACTGATTATGCTATTACAATTGTCCATTTTGTCCCCTTTATTCCCCTCTGCCTTGCACACCCCCTCCCATCCCCATCCCCCCTCCATTACTTCATGTCCATGGGTCGAACATATAAGTTCTTTGACTTCTACATTTCCTATGCTATTCTTAACCACCCCATGGCTATTTTCTACCTACCATTTTCTACCTACCTCCCTAGGTATTTATTCCCTTTACCTTTTCCCTCATTCTCCCCACTCTGCCTCCCCTCTGGTAACGCTCCACATAATCTCCATTTCTGTCATTCTGTTTCTGTTCCTGTTCTAGTCATTTGCTTAGTTTTTTTTTTTTTTGTTTCAGTTGTTGATAGTTGTGTTTATTGTAATTTTATTCTTCATAGTTTTGATCTTCTTTTTCTTAGATGAGTTTCTTTAACATTTCATATAATAAGGGTTTGGTGATGATGCACTCATTTAACTTGACCTTATCTGGGAAGCACTTTACCTGCTCTTCCATTCTAAATGATAGCTTTGCAAGATAGAGTAATCTTGGGTGTAGGTCCTTGCCTTTCATGACTGTGAATACTTCTTTCCAGCCCCCTCTTGCCTGCAAGGTTTCTTTGGAGAAATCAGCTGAGAGTCTTATGGGAACTCCTTTGTAGGTAACTGTCTCCTTTTTTCTCGCTGCTTTTCAGATTCCTTCTTATCTTTAATCTTGTGTAATGTAATTATGATGTGCCTTGATGCATGCTTCCTTGGTTCCAACTTCTTTGAGACTCTCTGAGCCTACTGGACTTCCTGGAAGTCTATTTCTTTCACCAGATTGGGGAAGTTCTCCTTCATTATGTTTTCAAATCAGTTTTCAATTTCTTGGTCTTCCTCTTCCTCTTCTCCTTCTAGCACCCCTATGATTTGGATGTTGGAATGTTTAAAGTTGTCCCAGAGGTTCCTATACTTCTCCTCATTTTTTAAAATTATTGTTTCTTCATTCTGTTCTTGTTAAATGTTTATTTATTGTTTAAATCATTGATTTGAGTCCCTTCACTGTTTGTTCTCTTTATTTCACTCTGTATAGCCTTCACTTCTTCCTCTATTTTGTGACCGTACTCAAGCAATTCTGTGAGCATCCTGATTACCAGTGTTTTGAACTGTGAGTCTGATAGGATGGCTATCTCTTTGTCACTTAGCTATACATTTTTTTCTGGAGCTTTGATCTGTTCTTTCATTTGGGCCATTTTTTCCTTGTCTTGGTGTGCCTGTTATGTCGTAAGGGCAGAGCCTTAGGTATTCACCAGGGTGGGACAACCCACACTGCTGTGCTGTGGTGCTGTATGTGGGGGGGAGCCCGAAAGGTTACAATGAGACTAGCTCACCTCCCTGCCAGCTTCCAGTCCCCTCCTTCCCTACCCACAAGCAAATTAGGCTCTTCTGGTGCTGATTCCTGGGTGGGTGGGTTTATGTATGTTCTAGGACCCTGTGGGGCCCTCCAATGAACTCTCCTGTGAGGCTTGGAGTTTCTCCTGCTACCTCAACCCTCAGAGGTTTTTTCAGTCAGAGCCTTTGAGTCTCTATTTCCCTGCACTGGAACCCTGGGTTGTGTGGTCCATCTCACTCCCCTGTTGTTTGTCTTGGTCTATCCACATGCAAATATGAGACTGCTGGGTCCTCCAGCTGCTACCTTGCCACAAGTCCTTTCTGCCCAGCTGCCTGTCTCTGGCCCTCCTACTGGTCTGCATGAATGTTTCTTCCTTAATAACTTGGTTGCCAGATTTCCATACAGTTTGATTTTCTGTCAGTTTTGGTTGTTTTTTGTTTTTAAATTTGTTGTTGCCCTTCTTTTGGTTGTGCAAAGAGGCACAGTGTATCTACCTATACTTCCATCTTGGCCAGAAGTCTAGTAACTTAATTCTTATCTTTCATATGGATGTGTGCATACTGTATAAACATAACAGATTTACTCTCTTCATTCTTAAAATGCAGACTGAAGTGTTTTAAAATCCCATTTGATTTTTATGAAGGTTACAATTTTTGACATTGTTTATTTGAAAGCTGGATATTTTTTTTTCCAGTTAATTATCTGCCATCTCTGACAGCTTCTATTTTCAGAACTGACTTAGAAGATAGAAGCATAGAGTTTCTTTATTTGTTTGAGGCATTGGACACAATTTTATAGTTATAGTTAATGTGGAACATTGAGTAATTAAAAACAGATCTTTGACATATAAATGTGGTATAATAATTTAGTTTGTATGAATGTTTGTAATTTAATAGGTTATTTTCTTACTGTTAGTTCCACATTATATAAGTAACTGACATTAAACATAAATATATAACAGAAAGGACTGTATTTTTCATTTTTGTTAGATAATAAGTGAAAGGAAGGTCTTATGTTTTATTGTTTGTTTCTGCTTTAGCAGGGAAAAAGTCATCAATTACACATGCCTTCTGTGTGTTACTGTAGTTTTATCTTTCACATGGTAGAAGTCACTTTATAGATCTTGTCAAAAATAGAATGGTATCAGATGACACATTTAGTTTAAACCCCTAAATGCATTCTTGACTTTATTTGACTTACTCTGGTATTTCTCTAGCATCCCACATGTCAGTGTGTTCTGCTCCTTCTGGAACTTCTTCTGGATTCCAGATGGCCTCGCTAGTTTCATCACTGGTTTGAGGAATAACTGTAAATAAAGGGAAGAGAAAGCTGAAGCTGTTGCCCATTTCCCCTCAAAATTGCTCTTGTACACTCAGTTGGGGATCACAAAGTAAAACATTTCTTACTTGTATTTTCTATTTTTACCAAAAACAAGCTAAATTAGTAACAACTGATTATTTTTTAAAATGCATAATCTTAGCCCTGGCTGGCGTAGCTCAGTGGATTGAGCGCGGGCTGTGAACCCAAGTGTTGCAGGTTCGATTCCCAGTCAGGGTACATGGCTGGGTTGCAGGCCATGACCCCCAACAACCGCACATTGGTGTTTCTCTCTCTCTCTGTCTCCCTCCCTTCCCTTTCTAAAAATAAATAAATAAAATCTTTAAAAAAATGCATAATCTTTATTATATTTTTCCATTACCATTTAGGCCCCTTATACTCCCCTCCTTTAAGCAATTAACACACTGTTATCTATGTGCATGAGTCCTTTTTCCTTTTTGCTCAATCCCTCCACCCCCTACCCTCCTGCCTCTAGCTGTCATCTTGCTCTCTGTATATAAGTCTGTCTCCGTCTTGCTTGTTAGTTCAGTTTGTTCGTTAGATTCTGTATATGAGTGCAATCAGTAACAACTGATTAAATATTTTTATCAATACACAACCAATACTTTGTAGAGTTATAATAATAATTGTAGGAAATTTAGAAAAGACATTTAAGGAAACAGAAGAAAATAAAACAATCTATAATTCAATTACCTGGAGACAATGAACGAGAGCATTTTGATGTATATCTTCCAGTCTCTCTCTCCCTCCCTCCTTCTCTTTCATGTGTGTGTGTGTATAACATATATTTAATATATTAAATGACATTGTGTTTAATATAATATAAAATATATTTGCAATGAAACAAATAGAATCACTTGTAAATATTTTTATATAAAAGAACAAATCAAACACATACTTCGGTTTAGGTAGAAATGTCTTATCTTGCATTGTGTTTTATTGTATAAAAGTCATTTGATACATGTTTTATTCAAGCATAACATAATTTTTAAGATACACCATCAGTTAAAAAACTTAAAATGTTAATTTTTTAATCCAGTATTTTCCTCATGTAGACATCAGCTTTAAAGAAACTCTGTCACTTGTCCTTTATGTAGAATTGAGCAGGTACCTGAGTCTCTACATGTCAACTCAAACTGTTTAAAAGTAAACAGGCATATAAAACCCCGCTTACATTTGTTCCAACTATTAGGGCAGCAAATGGATGCTTAGATTAGGTGCAGAACATTAGCTGGAGTCATGTTAAGCATCCCTCCTCAAATTCACCTGATTTTTAATTCTGCTGACCTTTAAAATTTATCTGCTTCTGTTTATAGCATAGGCTTTGTAAAGCCTAATTACAGATTTTATATATAATGCTTTACATATTACTCATTGTCCTCAGAACTGAGAGATTATTAGACCTAGATTATCAGAAATACAGAGAGCACAGAAATACATCTAAATTCAACTAGTGTTCCATGGAATGAATATCTCTTGAATGAGGTAAATATACTCTTGAGTAGTAATAACTAAAATTTTAAAATCATCCCCTCAGACCTCATTTTATCCATTATTTAAAATATTTTTTTCAGATAAAATCTTATACAATTAGCTAAATTGATGAGAGGACTTTACTTCCTTTCTATGCCCACCTTCTGGTAACTGTGATCTTGACCAACAGAATTAGAGCCTTTTATAAGTTTTTCATTAAATTTTAAAATTTTTATTTATTGATTTTAGAGAGACAGAGAGGAAGAGAAAGAGAAACATCAATGTGTTGTTCCACTTATTTATGCATTCATTGGTTGATTCTTGTATGTGCCCTGACCAGGGATCAAACCTACAACCTTGGTGTATCAGGTCAACACTTAAACCAACTGAGCTACCCAGCTAGGACAACCCTTCTAGTTTTTAAGATGTATAAAATGCTCAGGTCCATGAAAATGTATAAGCCAAATTACTGGGAATACATTCAAAATATTTATTCTAGTTATTGGACTTGTGACTCTTATAAGTTACCCCATGGGTTTTATTTTATAAGCAGTTCAATGTAATATAAAATTGTGTAGTTCTCTTGGGAACACAGATCACTTCTATTTTGCTTTCTACTGTAGTCTCAGAGATAATCATATTTCCTAATGCATACTAGGCTCTCAATAAATATTGATTGAATGAAATAAAGAATGAATTCTGTGAAACTGCCAGAATATAGTAGGGTAGAAGGTGAAGAAGCTAAACATCTTGGTAACTAAATCCTGAGTAGTAAGTTACTTAACTACATGTGACTGGTGGCCTTCCATCTCAGGAAATACGCCAAAATATGAATAATTAAAGGCAAATTAATTTCCATGACTAGAAAAACAACTTACCTGTAACAGTAGCGTAAAAGCAGCATCTTTATATATAAATGACTGTTCATCATTTCTACAATTGAGTTAATCTTTAATAAGTGCTAGCGTTAGTATTATTCTCCCTATAATTTTCTTCCCAAAGGAAAGAATGTACTACTTATTTTGGCCCATATACTCTATTAAATAACTTACCTTTAAGCTCTTCTTGTTTTGGTGGTCCAATATGCCCAGGATCCATGGCTCCAATCACAGATGAACATTTAAACTGGGAGAGAAGGAAAAAAGCCCAACTTTTTGTACTACTTGTATATGTATGTGACCAGTAATACTTTAAACCTCATATGCTTTCCAGCTAAGATTTCATAAAGCATTTAAGTTTAATTACCTATAGTTATTATACAACAGAGAGCCAGATGTCAAGTATTATTTTGATGTGTTTTACTTGTCTTTCAAAAAGTATTTGGTTTAATAGAGTCTAAGGCAGAATTGATCTTTGATCAATCTAATCCCCAGCTCCAACTCAGTGAATTATGAATTCCTGGGGTCAGGGGAATGAACTACATTCATCTCTTTGAAGGTTAAAACCAAGTATTAATATAAGAGCATCAACACCTTTGGGCATAGGCAATGTCTGGTCACAGTTAGATGGGAGACAGAAGTATGGGAAAGTTTTATAAAAACAAAAAACAAAGCATTAAATAGAGTCTAAGTATTTAGACATCAAATGACTCATTCAAAGTCTTGATTTCTCCTGGCTGAGATGGAGGCATAGGTAGAAACACTTCACTTCCTTGCACAACCAAAATAAGGATAACAACAAATTTAAAAACAAAAAACAACAAGAATTGCCAGAAAAATTAAACTGCATAGAAGTCCAATGACTAAGGAGTTAAAGAAGAAATGTTCATCCAGACTGCACCACAATGCAGTGACATGGGTTGCCCTACCGTGGTAAATAAATAAGGCTCTGCACCTTACAATGTAACAAGTACACTGAGACCAAGAAATATGGCCCAAATGAAAGAACAGGTCAAAACTCAGAAAAAGAACTAAGCGGTGAAGAGATAGCTAACCTATCAGATGCAGAATTCAAAACACTGGTAATCAGGATGCTCACAGAATTATTTGAGTATGGATGTAAAAACAGGGGAAGAAGTGAAAGCTATACAAAGTGAAATGAAGAAATATATACAGGGAACCAACAGTGAAGGGAAGGAAACCAGGACTCAAATAAATGATTTGAAGCAGAAGCAAGAAATAAACATTCAACCAGAAAAGAATGAAGAAACAAGAATTCAAAAAAATGAGGAGAGGCTTGGGAACCCTGGGACAACTTTAAACGTTCCAACAACTGAATTATAGGGGTGCCAGAAGGAGAAGAGGAAGAGGGAGGCATTGAAAACATAATGAAAGAGAACTTCCCCAATCTGGTGAAGGAAACAGACTTCCAGGAAGTTCAGGAAGCTCAGAGAGTCCCAGAGAAGTTGGACCCAAGGAAGCATGCACCAAGGCACATCATAATTACATTACATAAAATTAAAGATAAGGAGAGAATCTGAAAAGCAGCAGGAGAAAAACAGACAGTTACCTACAAAGGAGTTCCCATAAGACTCTCAGCTGATTTCTCCAAAGAAACCTTGCAGGCAAGAGGGGGCTGGAAAGAAGTATTCACAGTCATGAAAGGCAAGGACCTACATCCAAGATTGTTCTATCCAGAAAAGCTATCTTGTAGACTGGAAGGGCAGATAAAGTGCTTCCCAGATAAGGTGAAGTTAAAGTAGTACATCATCACCAAACCCTTATTATATGAATTGTTAAAGGAACTTATGTAAGGAAAAGAAGATCAAAACTATGAAGAGTAAAATGGTAACAAACTCACAACTATCAACAACTAGACTTAAAGAAAACAAAAATGAAAACAAAAACAAACTAAGCAAACAACTAGAAAAGGAACAGAATGACAGAAATGGAAAGCACACTGAGGATTATCAGTGGGGAGGAAGAGGGGAAGGAGGGGGGATAGGGAATAAGAAGCATAATTGGTTTGTACACATTAGACATGGGGAGGTTAAGAATAATATAGGAAATGTAGAAGCCACAGAACTTATATGTAAGACCTATGGACATGAACTAAGGAGGGGAAAGCTTGTTGGAGGTGGGGTGCAGGGTGAAGGGGAATAAAGGGGAAAAATAATAGGATAACTGTAATAGCCAAATCAATAATTAATAAAATGTACTTTTAAAAAAAGTCCTGATTTCATCTTTTACTTCTTTGCTGTAGGTATGAAACACTGCTTCATCTCACCACTTCATATTATAGAACTAGAAAATTTAAACAGCAAATCCAAATTAATACTGTCAACTATATGCTGAACTACTATAAGTCTTCATACAGGTTCAAGGTTATTTTGCCATAGTCTGCACAAGCATATATATGCCCACAGGACTGCCCCTGATGCACCAGTACAGGAACAGCTTTCTTTTTTCAACTATGCCTAACACATATTATAACATCATTATAGTGGCAAGCACTTCATTGGTCCCTCTCAGCGGTTCTTTGCTATTTGAAGAAAATCTTATTTTAAAAATTTGATTGTTCTTGTTGATGTAAGATTCTGTGCTCTAATTCACTTCATTTGCTGGAAGTCAAAAAATTTCTTATCTCCTTGGGTCCTGGGAAAGTAGCACCTCTAGCTCGTTTTTCTAAGGCCTCCGTAGCAATCTCCCAAGGCTTAATACACTCCTGTTTGGGCAAGAGAAATAGTGTCTGTCCTTGAAAGCTGGTAAAAAAAGCACCTGGGACTCTTTGTGCTAAACTATTCCAACAGCTATAAATCAGAAATTAATTTATAACGTCAAAAGTTTCTGAGACAGTAAAAATTCCTTTTCAAAAGGTGCTTCGAAAGTGCTATGTATGTGGTTAATGTTACAGACATTTTAATATGAATATCCCAAGAAAATACTTTGTACATTTTTTCTTTTTAAGCACTAAAGTCATATAAACTTGTAGTGCTTCTCTTAAATTATTAATCACTGGAATACGAATAGTCAATTAGGGTAAAGCATTCTTGGAACACGAGAGCCTCTTGTTTTTTTGAGTGCCTCCTTCAACAAAAAAAATTAAAATCTGTATAAATGAAAACTTGAACATTTCTGAAAAAATTGGTATGCCTTCCATGGACAGTGATGATTGGATCAGTATATCATAACATGGGTGTTTCAGTTTATTAACTTAATGAAAATAATTAAAAATATAACTTTGAAGTAAAAGATGGATCAGGGTGATAAAATTAGATGATAAAATTAGATGATAAAATCATCTGGCAAGTATTTTCTACAAGACTATCATGTCAGCCTTCACTATGAATCCATACCCAATTATCTGAGCAATTTATCACTGCATTTCATGCCACTTTGCAATATGTAAGAGAGTCAGAACATCCTTGTTACAATGTCTGTGAAGAGCAGCGAATGGTATTTCCCACAGTCTTTAAGATCCCTTTGTGAATTAAAAAAACAAAACAAAACAAATAAAACAACAGATGTACTATCTTCCCAATCTGCCAGATTCTTCACAATTCATGGTGGGGATAGATGAACCAATGTGTATGCAACAGTTCTAATGTTATTTTCAGAGACTGTATTTTCAAAATACATTACTCTTGTAATCATGCCATAGTTACCAAGGTTAATGAGTGAAAAAACTACTTTTGCCTGGAAAATTTACTAGTTTATTAAAACCATTAATTATTCTCCTACTGTTCTGATAATCCAATTCTGTATCTTGTAATGATATCTGTACTGAGGTGTCTGAATGACCAATTATCTCAAAATTGCTTATAACCCAGATATACAGAATCACACATTATTATAGTTTTCCTCTATAAATTATACAGTTTGGCAAAATAGTCCTAGTCTCTCTATTCTCATAAGCACTCATCATTATCCAAGAAACAACTCTAGATGCAAATAACTATGTCCATACTAAAATGCCAAAGGGAACAGGCTTTGTTACCAGAGTCATTCCTTATTTCTGAATCTGTTTCAAATATAATTTCTACTTCTTGTTCAAGAGCACTGTTTCTCAAGTACTTAATATACTTGTTGTATCTGACATAACCACACCTTTCCCAGGATGTATCATTCTATTTCAGCCGAGTCAGCAAAAATGAGCTTGCCTTCCCAAGTTCACTGATACATGCTCATAACTTTTTCTCCTGTGTCTTATTTGTTGTAGATATTTAAGGTGTTATTAACATCCACTTTTTCCTTATTTTTGACCTCTACTAAGACTTTTCCCTGTCTCAAAAGTCTTGATTTCTGGTTCTGGCTCCAAGCTGACTCAGTTCCCCTCTTCTACAAATTTTATTTCCATTGTACATCTTATTTGATTCTACTCTGTTCCACCTAAGCTCTTCCTGAAGGGTGGAAGCTAGGTCCACTGTGCATCTGAGCCATTAAATTTGCTGCCCATTCTGATTATAATAGTTTTTCCACACAATGACAAAGAATTTTGGCAGGAGCAAATTGATATGCACTTTCATGGGAGATAGTTTGCTTATGGTAAACTTGTCATAATAATGAAAAACTTTATTAAAAGTAGTGAAAGCAAATAGATATATTCTACTATAGTATAAGATTTCTGCCCCAAATTTTGTTTGTCTTAGGCAGTCTAATAGCCAAAGTTTGCTGATATCTAAGGAGTAGGAAGTGGAGATTGGGGGATTACATAAAAATGTATTTTGATTATACTGGGAATATTAGCAGTAACTGTGGAGTGCTCAAAGGTCAGCTCATGGAACTCTTCATATTCAAAATGTTGCCCATCTTTGTTGCTGCCAGTTTCCCTGGGGTTACCTGTCCTGACTCCAAATGCTATTCAACTATGTAATTATATTCCACAGCTCTGTTTGAGCATGTACCAGGAAATCAATTTTAGTAGGCTGTGGGTAGTTCATCCCCTTACTTGGCTCAAAATATTTTCTGTTCTGTTTCATCTGTAGACAAATAAAAAATAAGGGGACCGAATTTGGGTGGTATAATTAATACTGTCTAGTTGAAATTATTTGTTTTATAGAAATACTGTCTATGCTTTAACATTCTAGCTATCACACTTTGTAATGATCGTCAAGCATCCTTTGGCCATAAATACAAATGACAAACATTTTGAAATGTGGCTATTGTTACCATGGTTACAGAATGATTTTTTTTTCCTATTTAGCATTCAGGTAGTTTAGAAAAAAATATATAATTATGTTTTCTAGAAATGTATTAAAGGTTTTACTGTCATGAATAATCAGCTCTGTGACCTCTTGCAAATACATCAAATGACATAGCCTTACTCTTAGAGTAAGGTTGGAACAAGTTGTTCAAATACAGTTTTACAGTATATTGTGAACAGAACTAATTGATCTGTAAGTACAACCACCTGTTCGGACTCAAAATCATCCTCTTCTTCAGGATAAAGTAGCTTAGAAAGGGCTTGCAGAGTTGAAACTGAAGAAATAGTTTCAGTTTCCATGTTTTCTAATTTTATGTTTTCGGTTTCTGTATATTCAGGTTCCATATTTGCCAGTTTGATATTCTGAGGAAGAAAATAATCAGAAAGAGGTATTTTAGTTTTCTATTTTATTTAAGACATGTTTTTTTATTGTCATATCTCCCTTATTTCCCTGGGTCACTCCATTATTTCTTATTCTTCCTTGAAAATCCTTGTAAACTCCTTCAGTTATATATGTAGTTAGCTGACTCACAGACCGGGGCGGCAAGTAAAGTCAAGTATTCAGCTTACTTTACTCAAACTTCATGCTCAACTTAACAAGCATTTATTGAGCACCTACTATAATGGTTCTAAGGTTTAGTGTGCCTAAGAATACTTGTGGAGCCCTGGCTGGTGTAGCTCAGTGGATTGAGCACGGGCTGGGAACCAAAGTGTCCCAGGTTCGATTCCCAGCCAGGGTACATTCCTGGGTTGCAGGCCATAACCCCCAGCAACCGCACAATGATGTTTCTCTCTCTCTCTCTCTCTCTCTCTCTCTCTCTCTCTCTCTCCCTCCCTCCCTCCCTTCCCTCTCTAAAAATAAATAAATAAAATCTTAAAAAAAAGAATACTTATGGAGTTGTTTAAAAATGCAGATTTTAGCCTTACCTCCAGAGAGAGTGGAGTCCATGTTATATAGAATGTACATCATTATTGTACAAGAAACATACTTGTGTAAACTACCTTTTTATCTGTCTTATATATGCTGTCTCATGTAAGGCTGTATATTCCCTTTAATGAACTGAAAAGAATGTTTGTTGTGGGCTATGACTCAAGGAACTTACTTCGCATTTTGCCTCAGCTAAGCCTGTACCTTCTGCTTTATTTAAATTTTTAATTAACTGTAGATGATATCTAGCATTTTGTTACCATTAGAGAACTCAAATGGGTTAGTTCACAAAATAGAAACAGATTAATAGATACAGAGAACAGACTGACAGCTCTCAGAGGGGAGGGGTAGAGGAGTTGGGTAAAAAGAAGTGAAGGGATTAAGGAGAAAAAAAACATTGAATAAAGACAACGATATGGTGAGTACCAGAGAGGAAGGTGGTAGAGGGTAAAGGAGGATAACTGGTGATAGAAGGCAACTTGACTTGGGCTGGTAAATACACAATACAATATACAGATGATGTATTATAGAATTGTACCTCTGAAACCTATATAATTTTGTTAACCAATGTCACTCCCCAAAATTTAGTAAATTTTTAAAAAGAAAAGCAAAAAGAAAAAAGTTCACACAGAATAAATTGTTTTGTTGATTATAATAATGATACTGTATAAGTGCATTGTGAAAATTTTAGGAAATAATACATTAAAAGTATAAATAAGAAAATCACAACTACATGTAATCCTACTAACCTGACATCACTCTTTTAAATAATTTCTACAGTTATATTTGGAGTAGGAATTCAGGATCTTTAAAAATCATGGAAGTGTCAGACTTGAGTGACTAACCTGAATAAATACTGTAGAATTAGGCCTATTTTTAGTGATTTAGGCATAAACGTAACAGGAATCTTTTTTATATTTCTTCTGATATTTTAAATATTGTTTTATAAAATTAATTCACATGAAACATTACTTTAGTGCTATAATTAAATCGCTAATTTTTTTTCCATTGTGTCTAGAACAGGAATACAAAAGGGATTCTGAAATGTGTACTGGCATAATCACCTGTCAAAATCAATCTGCATGCAAATGGTGTTTTACAAACATTGTTTTATTTTAACTATTATTTTAATTTTCATTTTTAAATGGAAAACTGATTTTAATGATTATAGGAGATGTCAAGAATATGAATCAAATGTTAAATTGTCCTGTACATCCAAGTATAGAAGCAGTATATCACAGTGGTTAAGAGTAAGGGATCTTGAGTGGTTGGGGGGAAATGCAGACAACTGTAATTGAGCAACAATAAAATAATTATTAAAAAAAGAGTAAGGGATCTGGAGTCATGCTGTTTAGATTTGTTATGTATCATTTACTTCCTAGCTCTGTGACTTTTGGCACATAATTTAAACTTCCAGTGTCTCATTTTTATTATCTATAAAATGAGAATAATAATAATAGTGCTACCTCATAGGGTTGTTACAAGGATTAAGTAGTTCAATACTTGTAAAAGAGCTTGGAACAGTGCCTGGTGCACAGTCAGCTCTCGACACATGTTAGGTATTATTGGCTTTTTAAAAATTTTATATTTCTGGGCATGAATATCACTTCTAATAATTATGTTGAATAAGTTAATGATAAAACTCATTTCATCAGAAACTCACTAAATTGGAAAAAGTGAAATTAAGAGGTAAAAAAACCCAATCTTTTCTCACAGTATGGTCTGGTAGTCTGCTATGGAAATGAATAATATTTACTTAACATTAAAAGCAAAAAGTTTAAAACATTTTCTACCTTTGACAACAAAAGGGGGAAATCGATGCAAATATCAGATGCAATCATATAATTACTATTCTGAGTTGAGATTGTACAGTGAGAATTTAAAAAAACAAATACAGCAAAAATTCTTTTCTTATTTCAGCATTACCTACCTAATAAAATTGTGATGCCATTTTATGCAACATTTTTGAACGAGTTTGCTACATTGTGAAACCCTATGTAAAAATATCATTATTGCCTGGCACATAGTGCCAGAACCCACAGATACTTGATGATGAGGTTTGTGAGATCTCAATGGTGGGCTGGTGAGAGGGGGAATAAACTGAAACCAGTAGAGCTAACATGGAAGAAGGGTATTCAGAAGTTCCAAATATAGTGTCTGAGATGGTAATCAAAACTTTTATTCATGTGTCCTGATTTGCTAGGCAGAAACATGGCCAGGGGAGTTTCAGGATATGATCAAAGTTTCAGGGAAGGAAGGTTGAATTGTCAAGGTTACAGGGAGGCCCACTTAGGGTGAAGTAAGACCCTGGCCCATAGGTGGGGGGATAGGAGGCAGGGTTTAGTTTATGAGGATTGTGGGAGAGTTTGCAGATAGATCAAGTTATAGAATAGGGCAGGACTAACAGTCACAGCTAGGAAAGGGAAAACAAACCAGGTACTGCATCAAAGGCTTTCTCATGTCACCTGGGCATCCACAGTACAAGTTATAAAGAAAGCCTGTGCTTCAGTTGGTACACTGGATACTGGATTTAGGGAAAGTAGATTAATTATAAATCCCCACACTGGGAAGAAGCCCTGGCCTGGTTCTCATTTGGTGAGAAGCAGTACAGTGTAGGTGGTAGGAAGCTATACCTGTAGGCTAAATGTCTTCAATAACTGAAACTGGCATGTAGTCAGCAGTTGATGAACATTGAATGAAGTACGATTAACTTCATACAAATTTTATATTTTAAAGTAGTCCCTTTCCACAATCTGTTTGTGGGAAGTGAGGGAAGTGACAGAAAGTGGGATGAGAGTCGAGTGAGCAGTATGTCTCCTCTCTGACTCCTCCCAAAAAGACAGTGCCACATCTCAGCAAAGAGGGTTGCCCTTCCCTGGCGAATACCTAGGCTCCACCCCTTACCACATAACAGGTGCACTGAGACAAAGAAATATGGCCCAAATGAAAAAAAAAAAAAAACAGATCAAAACTCCAGAAAAAGAACAAAGCGGCGAGGAGACAGACGACATATCTGATGCAGAATTCAAAACACTGGCAATCAGGATGTTCTCAGAAAAGACTGAGCTCTATCGTAAAATGAAGGCTACACAAAGTGAAATAAAGCAAAATATACAGGGAAACAACAGTGAAGGGAACGAAACTGCGACTCAAATCAACAATTTGGAACAAAAGGAAGAAATAAACATCCAACTGGAACAGAATGAAGAAACAAGAATTAAAAAAAATGAGGAGAGGCTTAGGAACCTACAGGACAACTTTAAGTGTTCCAACATTTGAATCACGGGGGTGCCAGAAGGACAAGAAGAAGAGCAAGATATTGAAAACTTATTTGAATAAATAATGAAGGAAAATTTCCCCAATCTGACAAAGGAAATAAACTTGAAGGAAGTCCAGGAAGCCCAGACAGTCCAAAAAAAAATGGACCTTAGGAGGAACACACCAAGACACATCATAATTAAGTTACCCAAGATTAATGATAAGGAGAGAATCTGAGAAGCAGCGAGAGAAAAGGAGACAGTTACCTACAAAAAAGTTCCCAAAATGCTATCAGCTGATTTCTCTAAAGAAACCTTGCAGGCAAGAAGGGACTGGAAAGAAGTATTTCAAGTCATGAAAGGCAAGGACCTACATCCAAGATTACTCTATCCAGCAAAGCTTTCATTTAGAATGGAAGGGCAGATAAAGTGCTTCCCACATATGGTCAAGTTAAAGGAGTTCATCATCACCAAGCGCTTATTATATGAAATGTTAAAAGGACTAAGCCCTGGCTGGTGTAGCTCAGTGGACTGAGCACGGACTGCGAACCAAAACGTCGCAGGTTTGATTCCCAGTTAGGGTACATGCCTGGGTTGCAGGCCATGACCCCCAGCAACTGCACATTGGTGTTTCTCTCTCTCTCTCTACCTCCCTCCTTTCCCTCTCTAAAAATAAATAAATAAAATCTTTAAAAAAAGGACTTATCTAGGAAATAGAAGATCAAAACTATGAAGACTAAAATGACAACAAACCCACAGCTATCAATAACTGAACCTAAAAACAAAACAAAACAAAAACAAACTAAACAAACAACTAGAACAGGAACAGAATCACAGCAATGGAGATCACATGGAGGGTTATCAGTGGGGAAGGGAAGGAGAAGAATTGGGGGAAAGATACAGGTAGTAAGAAGCATAATAGGTAGGCACAAAATATACAGGGGTAGGTTAAGAATAGTATAGGAAATGGAGAAGCCAAATAATGTATATGTACAATCCATGGACATGAACTGAGTGGGTAGGGGAATGCTGGAGGGTAGGGGCAGTGCAGGGAGGAGGGGGGTAAAGGGGATAAAAAATTGGGATGACTGTAATAGTATAATTAAAAATACATACTTAAAAATAAAATAAAGTAGCCCTGGCTGGTGTATATCAGTGGATTGAGTGCAGACCTGTGAATCAAAGGGTTGCCAGTTCAATTTCCAGTCAGGGCACATGCCTGGGGTGCATGCCAGGCCCCCAGTAGGGGGTGCACAGGAGGCAGTCACACATTGATGTTTCTTTCCCTCTCTTTCTCTTCCCGTTTCCCTGCTCTCTAAAATTAAACAAATAAAATCTTAATAACAATAATATAAAATAAAGTAGTTCCTTTGGAAGGGTATGCGCTGATAAAAATTATGTTATCAATGCTCAAAATATTTTTGAATTCCTTAATATGTACTACCAAAAACATAGGTACCATTATGATATGACTCAGTTTCATAACACATGAGATTTATCTCCAAGTAATTTCTAGATATATCTAGATATCACATCTACTTTCAAAATATGAAGATTTGCTACAGTGAGGATATTCAAAAGAATGTATTACTGGCCTCAAGGCAATTCTAACAGAGTAATTTCAAAGTATTATGAGCAATAACAAGAACATTAAAATGAGTGGGTAGTCTTCCAACTGCTTTAAAGGGGATGCCACTCCTTGGGACATATATGTTTGAGTGTATTTGTTAAACAAATCACACACAATAATTTATAGTAACATTCTATTTATCTGAAGCATATTATGAATTGGACTTTTTAAATTCCAAGTTATGTTGGCTTAAAATAACATACATTTGTACTAAGCTAAATTAAAGTTATCACAATATAATTGGCACTTTAGCGAAACAACTGTATTAAATCCACTGTAAAAATAATCTGTAAACACAATATGATAAATCATGACAGGTTTGTGGATATTAAATTTTGAGACAACAAAAGAATCACCAGTAGCATCAAAAGAGGAAAACAAGGTGAATTCTTGAAAAAATTCTAAATTTAATGGAACTAAGATTCTACTAGCTTTTTAGAATTCTAACACATTACAAATAATTTAGTAGGATTTATTTAAAAGATATTAAAGATATTCATTTGACATAGATAACATTGGTAAAACTAAGTCAAGATGTTTCTTTATGAACTATGCAGTGTTACTTATTTGTAGAGCTATGTTATTTGTAAATTTGATACACATTAAGTTTATCTTGAGACTGGCAGTCAAGGTTCTTCAGGATATTACCCCAACTTAATTTTCTTCCCTTCCCTCCTATAATTCTCCTACATGTAATTTGCATTTTGTTAAAAACTGAACTATTTATTAAATATACCCAATAATCTTCTGCCCTCGGAATATATTCTTCCTTTTGCCCAGACTACTCAGGCAGTGTAGTGCAGGGATAAAAATATATTCTAGAGTCACAATGCTTATGTTTGAATCACATTGCCACTTAAATAGGCCAATAAATTTAAACTAAGAAAAATTTAAGTAGGAGTTTCATTTAAAATGTATTACTAAATCTTTTACTTAAGATTTGGTTATTTGGAAAATAAGTTTTCTGGGCCCTTTGTTTTTATTTCTTTCACTTTCCTTTGCTAAGCCAATTCCAATGGAAGCATATTCCAGACAGAGTTTCTGATTTTCCTATATCAACCGGAGCCCTTAGGGCCGCAGTGAGCTAAAGAGCTGGTCACTTCAAAACTGGCTCATTACCAAAACATTGGAACCAGTTAGGGACTATACAAGCTCAACCAGAATAGCTTCAGACCAATAGCACTGAAGCAATATCAATAACCTGGTTGTGAGGGTTAGGGTCATGCTTTCTATTTGATTTGCCTCCATTCACAGTGTCAATGGTGATGGCTCTGTGACTTGAACTAATTGGAGAGAAGTCCAGGTTAAATTAGTGAAAACTGTGGTTTTTAGACTATTCAAAAAATAATGCTATTTTATAAATTTAACTATATGTAGTAAATAAAATAATAATAAAGGATCTCCAAATAGAATCCTTTGGGAAATTGTTTAACAGGTAAATCCATACTCCTTTATAAAGCACTATTTATAGCTGAATATCTCCAAGTATTCAAAAATCCATGTACTCTCTTAAATAAACTTGGCATTTGTTTTGCAACTTTACTTACATAATGCCTTATTTAGCAATACCGGTATTAATATTCTTCAGAAAACACAAAAGTAAACATCACCTTTGCCTATGTCTGAATTAAATTATAATATACTGGCTAATTATTTCCCCTTTTTTACATTTTTTTCACAACTATACACATCCATGAATCTGTGTCCGTTAAAATAATTCATCTTTATGTTTACAAAACTAAGAATGGGTTCTTTTTTTATGTCTCTAAATTTCACTGCCACTCAATGTACCAAGGCATGAAGAACTATGAGGACTTAAAAGAGTTTTGTAACAAACTTAAAATATATTTAATGGAAGATGATTTTTGAAAGTACCTGGAATTTTTCATAAACCTAAAGGTCAAAAAATGAGCTTCTTTTTGATTTTAGCCAAACTTAACACACTTGTCATTAACTTTTCCTGTTTCTCTGTCTCATTCTCATGTTTCACCTCTATCTAAAAAGTAGTTGGGACAAAAAGTTTTCCTTCAGTACTTTGAAAAATTTCCCCAAGAGTCCTGTTTTCTCCATATTCTTTAGGAAATAGTCTCTGTCCTGAATCCTTTGCACAACAGGAAACTCTTAGGAGAAATGACCCCTACCTCTTGTTCAAATTCAGTTTTCTCCCCTCACTCAAATTTCATTTTTTGATAGTTTCTTACCGGATGACAGGGCCGTACTTTCCCAATTAGCCCTTGATGAGTAGCAGGTTTGATAGGTACAAGTTGTCTTTATACACTACACTCCAGTCCACTAAGTATGGACTGACTGCCTCTCACTCCTCAAGGGATCTGATCAAAGTCGGTTAGAACCCGCAGGCCAGGACGTTCACGTTCTAGAACACCAAACGTCGTCCAAGTAACAATGGCACAGGCTAATTTTTTTCAGCATTATACTCCCTAAAAATTATATTCCAACCAAGGCGTGGTGGTCCAGGGTAAATCATGCCTATACGTGTAAAACTCCCACTTGGAGCACCCAGATTTACCCAGGACACGTAGTTTTGACTCTCAAATTCGTGTTACAATCGTCTTAAGTGTGTGAGTGGAGTACAAGGCTTTGAGAAGCCTACACTTGCTTATTGCTGCTTTCTGACATTCGATCAGCACCCATCCCCTGTATGGTAAAACTGCCCCCTCTCTAATTCACATTCTGATAACACTGAGTTTTGTTAAAGCTTTTTGCTTCGAGTGTCTCGGGCAGGGGAATTTAGGATTTGTTCTAAAATCCTAAAAGCTGCGACTTGCAGCTTTTGGGGTGGGCGGCGGGGGCTATTTCTCAGCGTTAAGTACCTAGAGTTCTCCCCACTTTTCTCTGATAGCCACGGGATCTGAGGACCCTTTGTTTCCACCCCCTTGTAAGGTATGGGTTCCTCACCTGGGTCAGTTTTCTGGTCACAGGCTAGGCTCAGAAAATAGCCCAGAGCTCTGCGTCTGTTGCCTGGGTAACAATTTTGTTCCCCGCACCCCCCCCCCCCGCCCACCCACCTCCGGGTTTCCGCTTGACTTTCGTGGCCAATCGTGGAAGAGTCTCCTTTGAAACAATACTAAAATCAACCAATCCGAGCGCTTGCCAGTCAAGGTCTATGGCTGCCCTTTCCTCCTTACTAGGTCGACCAGCTAGACTCTGTCTTGGCCAACGTCACTCCAGCGGGAACTGTCTTCTGTGGAGTCCGGTTATTTCCGGCCACAGTAGAGCCCAGCCCGCCTTTCTGGCCGCTACCCAATTACTTTGGGGTGTTGATAGTGATCGGCAGTTGCGCTAGCCACCAAGGGTTTTCGCTTGTCCGGGGTCTTGCGCAGGCTTGTTCTTCATTAAACTTTTCCAGTACCCGGATTCCAGATTGGACAACTCCAGAGTTGCCGGAGCGGAAGGGTAGGCTCCGTGGTCCGGCGGTTCAGAGGTTTTCGGCTGCTCTACACTTGCTCCCCAAGACTCCTTCCCACCCTGAGACAGAGACAAGAGTTTTGGTTCCGCCCTGACTTAGTGCTCATGTGTGTAGAGTGAGATCGCACTCCCCCCCCCCCCCCCGCGGCTGTGGGCAAGTCTGTGTCTAGAGCCGCAGTGGGAGCACCCCTTCGGCGGTCACGTGGGTTCTGTTAGGCACCAGCTGGAACTCTCCGTGGCTCCCACTTCCCGGGACATCGCAGGACCCGGTGGCCCGCTTTCCCGCCTGAGAGTGGAGAAATGCAGGTGCGCTTCTGTCTTGTCACTTTCTGGCAATCAGAGTATCTTTACTTAGAGGTACACTAGTGACCGTAGGATCCGACAGATTCCGTGGTTTGGTTTTAATCAAAGGGGTAAAACAGAGATGGCTTTGGAGTATTGGAACTGATTAGCTCTGTTCGCTGGTGGGGTCCAGCATTCCTTATTTGAGTTTTGTAAGCAAGAAGAGATAGAATGATTTTAACGGATGGTTACTTTTGGTTATCCAGGGCTTGGAATTCGATAACGAATTAAGTAAAATAATTTCCTTCTTTCTGCTGTCATGTTTTTCTAACTTTCACCCCATATGGGGAAGGGGATAGGGAAGCTTGACTAATGTGTTTATTCTACTTGTTACCATGGTAAACAAACAAAAACGGAGGTAGAATAGTCATTTTTCTCTAAAGCCAAGTTATTGGCTTTTTGGCCAAATTACTTGTACCATAATACCCCTTATTCCTTCTCCCTCTTTTTCTTTTGTTTTGTTTCTTGATCTTTATCCCTATAGATGATCAGAGTTTAAGTGTCTTTTGTTTTGGCTAGGTACTTAAGGAGCTTAAGTTATATGTGTTATGCTATCTCCTTGCTTTTTTGTTTCTGTTCCACCTCATTTTGCAATATTCTAAGTCCATAATACCTAGCTCATGCTTTTCAGACCTTTTGGAAGTGATTCACAGTTAGTAAATAAATTCTATGTTGTGGCCGAGCACATAATACAGATATATAACTGATATCTGTTTTGCAGAATAAGTACTTAGTACATGTAGTGGACTCAAATATTTTCCATTATATATACTTTTAAAATGTAGATCACAACCCACTAATAAATTGTCATTCACAGGTTGAAAAACGCTGGCCCTTAGACCTTTGATTTTCAAACTTGTGTGTGTTTAGGAATTAATTAGGATATTTGTTACAAATGTGGATTTCCTTGTCTCACTCCCGGAACTGGTTCTGTGGTCTATGGTGGTTCATGTAGAATCTACAAAGTACTTGGTACAGGGCTAGGCTCACAAGTATTCAATAAATAGTAGTTTTCTTCCTGAGAAACAAATACTTTTTATCTTTATGGATATAATCACCACCTCAAGGTTTGGCCTGCTCTTGGCAAGGTGAAATACAATGCTTAAGCATTGTAATCTCCAGGGTTGATGAGTTAAGAAGGTAGGAGATGGGTCCTGGATCTGAGATAAATCTTCAAGTATTTGACTTCCTTGAAGAATTTTGTAAATACAGAAACTTAGGGCTTGAGGAATACTAAATTACAGAGGTTCAGTAAGATAGAACTCACTTGATTGAGTCTAATATTCCTGTCCATCGTGCTTTGATAGCAGGTCAGATCTAGGGGCAGAAGTTGAACTAGGATGAGGGCTTCCCTGTATTGCCTATCCCAGAAACAGAGGTAAAAGATTTTCCAGCTTTTGACTTCTAGGTTGACTTTAGAGTAATGAAAGTTGAGAGATCTAAAAGTTTAAAAAAATACACCTAAAAGTTTCTGTGGGTTACAGCTATGAAAGAGTGATATAGTTTAGATAATTATTTTATAATATATAGATAAACTGCTTTAAAACACTAGTTAAATAATTTATTAAACTAGCATTAAAGAAATTAAAGATGAGAAATTTATTTTGATTTGGCTACCAAAATAACTGATATTTCTATTCTCCTTTGATTGTATGTGTATGTACCAATATTTTTACATAATCTTCATTTTTGTTTATAAAATATTTATTCCTTTTATTTGATACTGTTGTGGAATTTTTTCCATGTTGATAGTCTTCATATTTTTCATTATTAATAGTAGCCTAATAGTTCATAAAATGAGATGACCATAATTTACTCAGTCTAGATAAACCAACAAAAGATTTATTTCTAGTTATTCCATGCAATCTTTAGCACTGTAAAGTCTTGGCTGTTTAAAACCATTTATATAACTTTCACTTTTAATGAAACTCAAGAGGAATCCTAACAGGAAAGCCAGGTATACAGACAGGAGCTGTGAGTTTTTTTCCCCCTTGAATGTATAGATTTGCCTGTAGGTTTCTATGTGCTGGAGTAGCAGGGATTAACCACAGTATTCATTATACATATGAGACTTAGGTTGAATACATTTTTAAACTCATAAATATAAACATTTTCAAAATTATTTTCTATAAAAATATGAATTATAGCAGATTGAAGCAGATTTGAGTGACACAGTAACACTCAAGCTGGTTAGCTTTCTTTATGAATACATTTTCCAAAGATTATATGAGTGTGTATTCATTTATAATTAAAAAATTTTGGTACTCACCTCCTCCCACAACCACATCAAACTTATAACTAAATTACAGAACAATCATCATTCAAAACTGCCTGAAATATACATGAATGGAAGTCCTATGACTAGGGAATTAAGGGAAGAAGCCACATAGAAACTGGTAGGAGGGGCAGAAACGAGAGTGAAGATGTAGAACAGGATGGTCTCTCACCCACATGTTGCAGATCAATTTTGTGAGGAGTATCTTGGTGGCAGAGGTCCCATCCTGACGAATAACAGGTCCCAGCTCACACCAGGCACCCCATCCCAGCATTCCAGTGCCATGAATAGAAATCCCATAACTTCTAGCTGTAAAAGTCAGTGGAAATTGAGGCTGTGAGAAACAGAGGGCTTCTGCAGTCCTAGGCAGTTCCTTTGAAAGGGCCCACACATGGAATTACTCAGACTTACTCCCTCTGAACTCCAGCACTAGGGCAGCAGCCTGAAAGGCACCAGAGACATATGGGAGGTTCTGAATTGTCTGGCATCAGGGAGAGAGCTGAGGGATGGCTTTATCTGATACAGAAGTGCTGGCAGAAGCCATTGTTCCTTGGCTGGGCCTCCCTACACAGAGCCAGAAGGCTGGCGCCATATCTGAGACTACATCAACCTGGCTTACACTGTTTACGCTGCTCTGGTGATTCCCTAAAACCCCGCCCCACCCAACATTCTGGCCCACCCAAGCTGTTTCTAGTGGCTTTTCCATACAAATGGCCTGGCTTGGCTCATGCATTAGATACTCCTAAAATATTTGAAACAAGCACCATCTGGCCCCAGTGTGCTGGTATCTCTTGCTAACTGGCCCCAGGCCTGGCACTAACAGGAGCTGACCTTGGTTTGCAGCTAGGCCTTTCCCGGGTACCACAAAGCCCAGCACAGGTAGCAGTCACCTGCAGATCGCTTTGTAGCTCACGCCAGGTGGCCCCAGGCAGAACTTAGGTGGTGGCTGACCTTGGCCTGCACTTCTCAGGCAGTCCCAGGCAAGTGCACCCAGTTGACAGTTTCAGATAGCTTTGAAGCATCACCACCCAACCACCTCCACAAGTGACACACTCAGGGGTGGATTCAATGGGCACCAGAACCCCACTGAAGTAAGTGCTACTCTGTGGGTTTGGCCTTGAACATTTGATCCTTCATGGTGGTCAGAGGTTGATTGGTGGTGAGGGTCAGAGCCAGTGCTTGCAGCTGATTGACCTGAGGTAAATCCCTTCCATTTACATGCCAATAGCAATCAAGACCCAACTACAACCCAGGAGGGTATAGACGTTAGGAGGGTATACACAGCCCACACAGGGTGCACCTCAAGTGCCCAGCTTGAGTGATTGGGAAGGCTGTGCCGCTGGACTCTACAGAACACATACTACATTAGGGCACTTAACAAAGCCTGAGAGCCATAGCAGCTCTACCTAATACATAGGAACAAACACAGGGAGGCTGCCAAAATGAGGAGATAAAGAAATATATCTCAAATGAAAGAACAAAACAAAACTCTGGTAAAAGAACTAAACAAAATGGAGACAAGCAATGTACTAGATGCAGAGTTCAAAATACTGGTTATAATGATGCTCAATGAACTTAGTAAGAATCTCAACAGCATAAAAAAGGACCAGTCAGAAATGAGGGATACACTAACTAAAATGAAGAATAACTTACAGGGAATCAACAGTAGAGTAGATGAACCTGAGAATCAAATCAGCAATTTGGAATATAAGGAAGCAAACAAAACAAAACAAAACACCAAAAAGAAAAAAGAATCCACAAAAATGAGGATAGTGTAAGGAGCCTCTGGGGCAACTTCAAGCATATTAACATTTGCATCATGCGGATGCCAGAAGAGGAAAGAGAACAAGAAACTGAAAACTGCCCTGGCTGGTGTGGCTCAGTGGATTGAGCACCGACTTGCAAACCAAAGGGCCATCGGTTCCATTCCCAGTCAGGGCACATGCCTGAGTAGCAGGCCAGGTCCCCAGTGGGACAGCATGAGAGGCAACCACACATTGATATTTCTCTCCCTCTCTTTCTCCCTCCTTTCCCCTCTGTCTAAAAATAAATAAATAAATGAAAAGAAATTGAAAACTTATTTGAAAAGAAGACTGACCAAATAGCTTCCCTAACTTGGTAAAGGAAATAGACATAGAAGTACAGGATGTACAGAGAGTCCCAAACAAGATGAACCTAAAAAGGCCCACACCAAGATGTATCATAATTAAAATGCAATAGGTTAAAGACAAAGAATCTTAAAAGCAGCAAGAGAAAAGCATTTTGTTACCTATAAGGGAGCTCACATAGACTGTCA